TCCATCTAAGGGAATTTTTCTGTTCTCTAAATTGTTCTTCATTTGTCATTTTTTACAGTGAAGAGTCAGAACATTTCTGTGTAGTTAGGGACAAATAAATTTAATGGGATTGAAAATGCCCCACTTTACTCTCTTTAATTTTGCATTTGTTCCCCAGTTTTTTCCCCAATCTGTATGAAAAGGGGCCTGGTGCCTGTTTTACTGCTTTCCCATGCCTTAGCATTGTTATGACCAAATCCAATCTTGGATTTGAATCTTGATCAGGGTTGTCCCCAAAATGGACATTTTTTCTCCTTGAAAATGTTTCTCTTCACATCCCAGAATCTTCTTCAGCTCTCTTTGAAAATGGGACAGTCTTGGTTAAGAGATTCCTATATAATGTTTTGAAATATCAAACATTTGTTCTCCCTCTTCTTCCGTGCCACAAATTTGAATAGTAAGAAGCATTACAGGAAGAAAATTAACACTGAAAGCTTCCCACTAAAATCTGTTAGGCACCTGCAGTTTTATCATCTAAGACTCTTCTTTCATGACGACATACAAGTTGCCCTTAACTTACAATCATTCATTGGGCAACTATCCAAAGTTACAACAGCACTGAAAAAAGCAACTTATGACCAGTCCTTGCATTTATGACCTCTGCAGCATACATTCTTATGGTCACGTGCTTGACATTCTTGGCAACTGGGATGTATTTGCAACCGTTACAGCATCCCAGGGTCATGTGATTGTCATCTGTGATCTTCCCAGCCAACTTCCAACAAAGACGATGCGGGAAAACGGATTCGTTTAACTGGTATTTGCTTAATAACTGTAGCAAAAAAAAAGAAAAAAGGTATGAGCGCGACTCACATCACCACCATTTTGCTTGGCAATGGACATTCTGGCCCCAGTTGTGGTTGTGAGTCAAGGGTGCAAAAATCACACCGAGAGATAAGGTCCAGGTTGTTTTGGTGATGGACAATATGCCTGTGGGTCTTATTCAGATGCACTGGTGATCCTCTGAAGAGGAGGTAGGTGCTGGCGTGTTTCCATGGCACTTGTGAATGGGCAATTATAAGGTGCCTTTTTCCCAAACTGCAGTTCTGAATTAATCTGACTAGTGCCATAGAAACAGTTTTCACCGAAGACTGTGTCTACACTGTTCGTAGCTGCAGTACAGTTAAAAAAGGACCTACCGCTATATGCCTTCCAATTCAACAGAATTTTGGAAATATATTATTAAAGAGGCTGGATACTCTGTCCAACCAGTGAGTAATTCATCAAAAACAAAAAAGGAACGGAATCAAATTTGGTGCGCGAGGAAAGCCAAACAGAAGGAAATGGGTAGGGGCCTATACAGGAAGTAAAAAAAAAATCCACAGGGGCCTCTCTTTAGAGTGAGGTATTTGTGCCGCAGCACGGAATATTGCTGGCTGCTTATTCTAAGCCCTGGCCCTGGTCCCATGACCCGGGGCAGTGCATCTCTGACTTCTTTCTGCTTCCCAGCATGCATGATCTTCAGAGAGGCAAAGGGAGCGCAGGAATGCAGGCATGCGCAAAGGCCACCGAAGACACACCTGCTCCGATTAATCCATGGCAAGGAAGGGCATCCAACCCCATACTATGGAGCGATAGTAAATAGAAACTGTCGCTGACATCAGCTGCGTTCCAAGCAGAGGCTTCAAGTTCTTGCTACTCTTAACAGGAAAAAAGATCTGAGGGCAATAAATGCCTAAATATCATTTCATCCTTACTCCAAAGCAGCGAAGCTTTATTGATAACAGACCGCATTGAAAGCTTTCTGAAGTCAGCCAACATGAGGTCTGGGAGATTTCAGCATAACTTGGATGTTGGTATAATTTCCAGCAATTATAAACCACTAAGGTATTTATTACCAGTGGATTCCACTCAGCCCATGGAGAGATCTTTGCAGGCACATTTTAAGCTTTTGTTTTTTTTTCCAGTACGTAACTATTACAAGCATATGTTCATATACCGTACTTATGTAGAAATCGGACTATATCCCCCTGAATGCCTTTTTTGAAGGTAGAAGAAGAAAGCATCCTTACTAAGATTAAAACAAACGGGTCAAAAGAAGGCAAAAGTTGTAATGTTAAAAAAAAAAGATTGTGAAAGCAAGCATGCTCTGAGCCATTGAGCTCAACTGTGAAGGGATCTCTTTCCACTCCAATGGAAATTCGTTCTATAATATTGAGATTAATACGGAGGCAAAACATTTAGTAGGGAGAGTAGCCTATCCAATGTTGCTGCGCCAGTTATGACGGAGAAAGTTCTCTGAGCTTCTTTTCTTACAGACATTTCATTACTCAAACTGCGTAACATCATTAGTGCTAGTGATGAGAGATCACTCTTGAGCAAGCACGTGGTCACCAAAAACGGCACAAGTATATTTAAGACTGCAAATCACAACTGCCAAGTTCTTTAGCTGTTTTTGCCTCCCTACACATCAAATCCTTCCCAAGAGCATGAAATGTCATATCGGCATACATTCATCATACCCTAGAAACCAGAATTGTTCATTTCCAGATGTTCATGTAAATGTTACTTTATTTATACTGGAAATCTCTCCAAAAACCATTTAAAAAATGGACATTGTTTTCATTAGCTCTACTTCCTAGTTAACAAAGTCTTAGTAACATTTATCACTTCGTTGTACACCAAAGACAACACCTTTGATAAATTAAACAGCAAGAGGGTTCTGTCTATTTGATTAAAATTGCTTCATTACAGAAATGGCCTCTCTGCCAAAATATTACTTGTAGAATTTGATGATCATCTGAAAATTTGTTTTTTTTTTAAATGCTGGCTGCAAAATAACCAAGAAGAAAATCAGCATTGCCATCACCAAAAAAGGGGAAGTGGACAAGGGGTCTAGGACAACTCACCATGGGACAATTTGCCATGACCAACTTGTCATGGAACAAGATTTACATTAATATTGAAGAAATGATGGAATAGAATCAATTAAAGGATGCAAAAGAAGGGACAAAAAGTGAACGACAAAAAGTACAATTATGTTTTATTTTAAAGAATTAATCTGAATTGTCCCACAGCGAGTTGTCCCCTGGTGAGTTGGCCATGGTGAATTGTCCCATTCTGGTAGCCCTTTCAGACTATGAATGATTGAGGACAGAATGTCAAAGTGAGAAATGAGAGCCCACTCACTGCATCCTTTTTCTTCTCTGTGGCGACCCAGGAGGCGCTGCAGCCGCCGGCTCTCGCTGCAGTTCGCCTCCGGCTCTTGCATGGCTCCAAGCGGCATCCGGGGCTTTCCCTCCATTCTGGGACCTGCCGGGCGTCGGGCCACAGACAAAAGGCGGCCCAGATGCGGCGCTTGCCCGGCTCGCAAGCGGCCGGGGCCGCGCCCCCTAAGGCAGACATAGTATGCGGGGGGAGGGAATAGGGAAAGTCTAATTGCAACTCAATTGGGGTCAAACTCTCAAATGAATTTGGCTCTCTCTGATTATCTGAAACTGACATGTTGGAATGTGTGAGACTAATAAATCCATCCAAACAATTCTGCGAAAATGAATTGGAAATACACCAGGGCACTGTTTCTCAATCTCGTGCTGGCTAGAGAATTCTGGGAGTTGTTAAAAGTCCACACATTGTTGAGGTTGAAAAACACTGCTCTGGGCATTAAAAGTTTCAACCCTTGTTTAAAATGCACACATGCCACACCAATCATCTCATAATATGGATACAAAATGAAGCTCCTAAATAGCCGATTCCAAAAGAGAAGATCCAGGGATGAGAAGATCCCCTTCCTCAATGGCCTGTGACTTTACCTGAGACCTGGCAGTGAAGCAATTGGCATAGGGCAAAGGGGCTTTTTAACTATACCTCCCATCACTTTAAATCGTGCAGAGAAAAGGACTGGAACCAGCAATTTCTTTAGGTCAATTCTCTATACTTCCCCAAGTACGGCAATGACACAAAATCCTAAAAGTTTGGCTTTGGATCAGCCCTATTTTTTCAAACAGATCCATCTTCTCATATCTGTGTTTGTCCTAATTTTTTTCCTCTGAAAACCTTTTTTTTTAACAACGAGAAGCCAACTGAATCCAGCAGCGGAATCTTGGATGGGGCTTGAGGCAGCTCTTAAGCCACATTTAACAGTCCTGCTTTATTTAGTCGTATCCTGAGGTCTCGAGAAAGTCCTTTTCTGATTATTCGGGAACATTTGGATGCTTGAGTTTTCTGAAGTCCAGCATCACAGCATAACGCTCAACCCTGGAGCTGGTCCACTCTCGCCTTAAGTAGATGCTGACCTGCATTCTGCCACAGAGACGCTGCCTGTTGATTTGTGATTGCGAACGCAGGAAAAAAAATAATGGCACCCTTTGGAAATGTGATGCCCTGGCTCACTCGCAAGGTGACATCAAGCCTCTGAATTTTCACCCAGTCTCTGGATGGGGGGGGGGGGGGGGGCTCTTTCCACGGACAAAATCCAGCCCTGGCAGCTTCCAGGAGGGATGAAGAAGAGCCAGCTACTGCATCAGTCACCAATTTCCACGCTTGTGTTTTCTCCTTAGCAAAATAAAAAAAAAAATCCATTGTAGAGTAATACATTTGGCAGCCAAGCCGCCTTACAAATTCGGACCAGACGGGTGACCAGGGAGCTGGCTGGAGAACTCACCTGTTTTGCAGAGCCTGAGCCAGAGGAAGCAACCAGGATGGGTTGGAAGCAGTCCAAATCTGTGGGGGTTTCCTCTTCTTTCCAAGGCACCCAGGATTTTGGGGGGCAGTTGGAGGAAGAGTCAACCAGACTTGTTTGCCTTCTTCACCCACAGGCTCTCTAACGCTGCTTCTCCGCTTCAGGCGGGTCGCAATTCCTGGGGGGAGGCTTGAAAACCAGTGGGCAGCCTTCCCCACGCCGAGGAGGAGTCCTGCGGAGCCCTGAAGCCCCCCCCCCCCCAACCAGGAGTGGAGGTCTTACCCACGGAGTCCCAAGGAAGGCTCGCTTCGTCCCCCCCTCCCCCCTCCCACTGGCCGGGGTTGGGAAGGGCTCAGGGCCGCTGCCTCCCCCTCTCACAGAGGTTCGCTTTCTCCGCTGCTGCTGCGCTCGGCCGGGCTGGCGGGGACCCCTTTTCCCGCCGGGCCGCCCCCGCCCGCCGCCCAGTCGCGCTCGATGTAGAGGTGGTAGGGGTCGTGCTTGGACTCCAGCTTGCGCGAGCGCGTGTAAGCCAGGATCAGCCCGCCGGCCAGACAACCGTAGAAGATCATGATCAGCAGGATGTACAGGTAGGCGTCGTTCTCGCCCGGCGGCCTCGCGGCGGGGCTGGAAGAAGCGCCGGGGTCGGGATCCCCGCCGCCCCCGCGCAGCTCCTGCCACAGGCGACCCAGGAGGCGCTGCAGCCGCCGGCTCTCGCTGCAGTTCGCCTCCGGCTCTTGCATGGCTCCAAGCGGCGTCCGGGGCTTTTCCTCCGTTCTGGGACCTGCCGGGCGTCGGGCCCACAGACAAAAGGCGGCCCAGATGCTCCGCTTGCCGGGCTCGCAAGGGACCGGGGCCGCGCCCCCTCGCGAAGCTCCCCGGGTTTGGAGGGGAGGGGCGGGGGGGGGGCGAGACGGAGTTTCTCCGCCTCCCCGAGGCGCCTTTGTTCCTTAACGGGCAATCCTGAAACCTGAGCTGGTTTGGGAGGGATTCTGCCGGGGAGCCCCCACCCCACCCCCGCCCCCCTCCAGAATTGGAAGTTGTGGTTCCTCCTGGTTTGGGAGCAGCTGCGGGGCTCCTCCGGAGCGCGGGGGGGTTGGGGGGGCTTCCACGTGTGGCCTGGCCTCTTTGTGGAGTCTTTTCGGGAAAGGGACAGGCAGCATTTGGATAAATGAATGGATCAATGGGAAGAGGAGGAGAGGGAGGGTACGCACGCGGGTGCGCTTCTGCACGCCCCCTTAAGAGACCTCTTGGGAATGGAGGGAGGTCCCTGGTAAGACAGTTTAAGGCAGGGGTCTTCCAACTTGACCGCTTTAAGACTTGTGGACTTCAACTCCCAGAATTCCTCCTCCAGTCCTGTTAGCTCAGGAATCCTGGGAGCTGAAGTCCACCAGTCTTAAACTTGCCAAGTTTGAAGACCCCTGATCGATCGATCGATCTATCTATCTATCTATCTATCTATCTATCTATCTATCTATCTATCTATCTCTTTCTATCTATTCTACCTCTCTTTATCTATTCTATCTTTCTCTTTTGACAGTTGATTCACCTTATCAACTATAAAAAAACCTCCACTTCCTAGCAGTTACAGATCTTGTGTTCTACAGTTCTGAATTGTGAAAACAAAATATTGTTTTCACAATTGTCCTTTTTGGGGGAAGCCCAGAGTAAGTATATATTTAATTGCAGGCATCTCTGGATCTGCCTTTTATCATTCCGTCCATAAATTCAGGTAGTTTTATATAATTCTCAAATGCTGAACATCTCTTTCAAGGATGACTGTTCTGAGTTAATTCATTTGGCATGATCTTCCTGTGACTGCAACAGGCTGAATCTCTTCTAACAGCTGAAGAAAAAAAATTCTTCTGATAATTTGATTGCTCCAGTCTTTTTAGATTTATTATGAATTTTAACTTAGTGGGTTATAGGTTTTATGCAGCCCAAATTTGCATAGTGTGTTCACTTCGGCATTTGTTTTAAAATAGTAACTTCAGAGCAAATGCTACTGAATGTAGTAGAGATTTATCCCTATTTTGTTGATAGCCATCAAACTTACGCTGGGGCACTTTCACGTACTGCATTTCTAGTCATGGCTAGTTGCGGATCTACAGACCAGCTCTGGCCCAGGTATATTGAGATGTAGGTCTGACATAACTAGACAGCAATAAAAATTGGAAGTGGCTGCCTGGAGTTGAGAAACAATGCAGGAAGAGCCACCAAACATTTGGAAGTCTTTACTCTTCAACAAAAAGTAGTGGCTTCGATTTTACTGATGTAAATGGGTAATATCCCCATATTTTCCTTTGGGAAACCTGTTTTTTTTTCTGGGTATGTTTGTGGTAAAAGAGATGTGGAATTTTTAGAGCACATGATCAAAGAAAAACAGGTCAGTTTGATCTGCTCTTCATCAACCAATTCAAAGTTGTTCCGTTCAAAACAAGTAACCCAGAATGACCAAAAAAGGCTCAGGCTGCAAACATGCTAGAATCTGTTTCTTGTAAGGAATGACATATTTCTTGAGCTAAATCTAGATACACAATTGTGGGTTTTTATTTTGTCCAGCTTCCAAAACAGTAACAGCCTAAAGCAGCTCCACACTGGATGATGGAGATGGATTTGATGCCACAATCTCAGAAAAGCTCATCAGGCTTCTAGGCATTTTTCAACTCTGGATGACTTAGATGCAGATAGGATTGCGTTATTAGCTATACATTTTAGGGAGGAGACTGACATTCAGCCACGTTGTTTCAGTAAAGGTAAGAGATGTGAGCCAAGGACATGTTGACAAAAGTTGAAAGCAAGCAGGAAATCTTACTTTATGGATGCCTCAGGCAAAGTTCTTTGGGAGGAGTGAGGTAAATGCACTCATTTCCATCTTTATTTTTATTCCAAAATTGTACTGCTGAAAACTCAAGAATGTTGCCCTTTTCCACAGAACAATTACACAGAGCTTTAAAAGCCCTTGGGGTTGTTTCTCTTATTTGTGACTTACAAGGTAGGATCTGTCTGTTAGATGTCTCCAGAAAGCAATTTTCAGGCTGCTTTAAGATGATCCCAGATCCATTCTACCTTTTTAGTCAGGCTGCAAAGAATACCAGGTCTGATTCTGGCCCAACTGTATGTTTTAAAACTTTGTACTTGATGAAAATAGCACTTATATCCCGCTTCATAGTGCTTTACAGCCCTAATTGGTTTACAGAGTTAGCATTTTGACCCCAAACATCTGACTCCTCATTTTACTAACCTTGGAAGAATGGAAGGCCAAGTCAACCTTGAGCCAGTCAGGATCAAACTGCTGGCAGTGGGCAGTTAGCCTGCAATACTGCATTCTAACCACTACACTACCATGGCTCTTATAAAACTGGTGTTTGGGATAAAGGTGGCGTAAAAAAAAAGGTATGGCCAATGAAGACACTTCTGTCGGGCTTAGTGAATCTGTGCAAATAAGTTTATTGCTGTGCCCCTTATCTTATAATTACAAACTTGTACATACTATACTTAGAGCCTTATTCCTGCTTGCCTGAGAAACTGGTTTATGAGAGGAGATTCACAGCCCATTTCCTCAAGGTATGGTGCTTTATTGACTTGTTCTAGCTGAAAATGAGGGAGTGCTAGCTTAGCCTCAAAGTTGAAATCCATCCTAGCTTCTCTAAAATGGGATGACTTCCTTGTTCTAGTTGTTTCTTAGCATCTCCTGACAAGAGTGTGTTCTGATATGAGAGTGAAAGGCAGAAACGTGTTCCCAGTTCTAGAAAAACTTGTTCACAGTAAAAAGTATGGTTGTACAGCCTACTTATTAATCGGACAGCAATGTAGTGTACTCTCCCTAATTAACTATACACATTTAAAACTGGGAAAAATCCTGGAAAATTACAGCCTTAACAATCATGTGAATGAAGAGGAAGAAAAAAAAATGTTTTGTTGACTTTTTCTACTGAGTAGGCTATCCGCCATCTTGGAAAGTTTATTCCAAGAGCACTTCCACCCCTACTGAAAATGATGCTAATTGAGAAAGTGGAAGAGAAAGACTGCGCAGGCCAGCAGTACCATTAATGCATGTATAAAGTAAGTGTGAGTTGCTGAAACCACGCCTCAGGCATTTCTTCTGCATATACATTCCACTTCCTGTTTCATCTACATATACAATCCATTTCCTGTTTAACCTTTCATTATGTTTTAAATCAAAATATCTTTCTAACTCAAGAGTTTTATCCCATGCCGAATGAGCTTGTTTGGGGGAAAATCCACTACATGGTAGGGAGGGCGTTTGTTGTTTCTGTAAATAAGGGCTTGTGTTTGGTTGAGCTCTTAAGAGGCATTTTCCTGGGACCATATTTTCTTTTGGTTTGACCTGTTTTGAATGTTTCTATTTTCAGTCAATAGGAGAGGATAAGCTTGCCCAAAAACTATCTCAAAGATATTCCTCGTGCATTAAAAATGGGTCCCCCTGCACAGCCAAGTCTGATCAGGCAGTAAGATTAACAAGGATTAATGATCTGCTGTTACTCTAGAAGTTGGCTCACCCACACATCTACCTTGCAAAAGGAAAAACTTCCCCCACTTGAGTTTAAAACCACTGTGTATTGAACAACATCTCATACAAAATTTCTTCATTCACCAAATAATATCCAATTATTTTTCTTTTTTTTAACCGTAATATACACATTAAAGTATAATGAATAAAAGAGAGTCTATTTTATAAATACTTTAGAGCCACCAAAAAGTAATACAATGCACCCAAGAGCCACATTTGTACAAAAATGGAAGCCACATACAGAAAAGGATCGAAAGTGCACAGTAAGAACAGCATCCCATCGTTGCCACGTTCGTCTCAGTTTTTGTTTCAAGTGTGAACTACTAGTATGAATAGTGCCCAGTGCACAAAAGACATTCTGTGGAATAATGCACACAGAAACGCAGAGGAGGCTGCTGCTCTCTCCCGCCCTCCGTACATCAAGGATTTCCAGTTTTTCAATAAAAATAGCAGACAAAAATTTCCCTTTGCAAACACTTTAAAACACAAAGTTGCCAAGGCTACGTCCATCACTTGTATAGAAGAGAAATTCATTTTAATATAAGATTTTGTTTTATGCGATATAGTCAAAGATAAATTAAAATGCCCTTTTAAAATAAAAAAACAACAAACAACAATAACCGAATATTTTATCTGTGGTGAGGATGTGCTTGGAGGAAGCGGCGCGTACATCCCAAAAAGCATGGACACTCCGCAAAAGCAGACGGTGTGCGGACTACTTTAGCTACAGGGCTTGTTTTGTTCCACTGATTTTTTTTTTAAAGGTAGTGAGTGCGAATAAATAAATGATTGGAAAAGATACCAGCTTAATCGGGGCAGTAATGCCAGCGTTCTTAGGACGGCCAAAGTCATCACTTGTCTTCTTCCAAAAGACATCTTGAAATGTTTTGATTGGAATGTCTTAATTTACCTCTGCTCGTCTGTGAGGATAGTTTCTTTGTTTTAGGCACTCTAAATGTTTAATACTACCAGTCATCTCTTTCTGTATGGAAAACCACCGTTTGAAAGAAAGAAAAATAAATATGAGAGAATCTGTCTGTGCTCACCAATGGCAGTGAAAGATTCCCACCCCACCCCCAACGCAGCAGCAAACGTGACTTTTAAAAGTACCGCCAGTATTCTCTTGAGCAGTGGAAACTACTGCCAACTGCCTATGGTGCCTTTTTTGTGGAATGAATAATTTTTAAAAAAATCGGAAATTGCAAGAATAATTTCATGGCAGAGATGGGCAGGATGGTGCTACCGAAAGGAAGAACTTGGGACATGGTGCAGGAACCCAATCGGGCGTTGTTGCTTTGGACTCTCAGTTTACAACTGGGTGAAAGTACCATTTTCACAAGAGAAATCCCACTTCCTCTCTTTGGACCACCAACGACAGTCACCTTCCAACGAGCCATTTCGCAAAGGACCTGAGAGAACCATTTTCGGAGCAGAGTTTTGGAGCGGGCTTGGTTCTGCCCCACTCTTACAACCCCTCTTCCGTATCGCCTTTGCAACTGGCTTGTTTTCATCCATTTCGAAAACATCGCCTTGGACTCAAGCCAAGATGATCTGACTGCTTTCAAATCGGAGAAGAAGCCAGAATAGAAAGACTGTAGAAATACTGGTTTATCCGGTGAGGGAGTTCCATACGAACACTTGGAACTGGAAGTGGTCTAATGAAACCATGGCAGTGGGTCAGTATTTTTGACAGCATCTTGGGAAACTGCAGGGCAGAAAGCCAGCACAGCTGTTCCTTCTGGGTAACTGAGAGTAAATTTTCAACTGTTTTATGAAACACTGCTTCTGTTTGGAAATGCAGCCGCTCTTTGGGAAATTCTTTCGTCGTTCAGTTCCAGAAGAAACAACGCACGGTTTCTGACGCAGGGCGATCCGGGAGGCCTTATTTCCCTCCGTACATCCGCTCGATGTCATTGAGGTAATGGTTCTTCAGCTCCTTTCTTTTCAGTTTGAAAGCATCAGTGACTAAGCCTGTTTCGGGAGTCCAGGGCTCGGGACTCAGGCGGACTTTGATGGGCACTTCAAATCTTTCCAACTTCACTGGAGGAGAGCAACGGGGGTGGGGGGTTGGGGTGAAGAAGGAAGAAAACAGCAATCAGGATTTGAAGAGAGAGGAGCCAGGCAGATGGACACAACCTACAAATGTTATTCATTTATGAGTCAATGGAGCAGGCTTGGGGTTTTTTTTTCCTGTTCAAAAGGAGTACCTGTTTGTTAATAAGATACACTGTGCTTTCAGTCTTTTCTCAGGAGCATTCTTCCCCATGGCCGGCAGATGGCAGGATAATAATAAATGTAGCTTCACAAGGCCTTTCAGATCATTTTCAATCTGAAATACGTCTCTAAATCTACTCTGGGTACGTGTTGCCTGCCCTTAAACCCTCAGGACACGGCAAATATTTCTTTAACACTTGAGGAGAGGAGTAACGGGGAAGTGGCTTGCAAAAGCTCTTAAAACACTTCCTCCTATCATTAGTAAGATACTGAGTGATACTCAAGCAGGGTATCTGCTGCAGATAAGATCCTGAGTTGTAACCACACTACGTTTGCTTACTTTTGTTAGCCATGTCCTTAATCTCTTTCAAAACTTCCGATTCCATGACAGGATTGTTACAGATGTTGATCCAGTTGTCAGACATGCCCCTCTGCTCAGCAAGTGCCATGAGTTTCTTCTGATTGGGAACCACAAAACTGATAACGTAAGACTGGTTGCTAGATTGAAACACAAGAAAACGTCGTTCAGTTTTTATGAGACTTGACTAAGCAAAATGTTTTACCCTGAAAATTACACTAGCCCAGCCTTTTTCAACTGAGGTTCTGTGAGAAATGGTGTTTTGGGGGTAAAATACTTGTTGAACTTCACACGCTAGCTGTAGATGTAACTTTTACGCAGATGTTCCCAGAGATCTGAACATTATTTCAACTTATTTCCTTCAAGATTAAAAACAGAAATGAGAAAGGTTGCTCCAACCATGTAATATTTAGATCATTAGAACCTAAGGATGCCTTTCAGGGTCAGACCTCTGGCCCATCTATTTCCGCAGTTTGTTCTCACAGTGGGCAACCAACCGCCCAAGGACGCCCATCGGTCTCCCAGCAGGTGGATTTCAGAAGTTGATCCCTGGGATTTCCATAAAACCAACCAAGTTGATAGCCAGCACATCTCTATGGTTACTTGTCAATCGTGTGTGTATGTGTATATAGATAGATAACGGCTAAAAGGTGAGAAGAAACCAAAAGAATACTTTTGTACTTATATAGCGTATGAATATTTAGATCCAGAATGATTTCAGAAACGTGGGCATGTACCTGTGACCCTCAAAGGGTTTCTGAATGAAATGCCAAGGATCCTTTACTATGGCTGGTTTACTGAGGTACAGAATTTAGTTCGGCACTATCTGAAGGCTGGTCAGTTCCCTCACTCAAGATACAGGGCAACTCCGCTGGGGACCTTACAGCACCTAATGCTCCCAACATACGCAACGTTAAGATACATGAACTTCAACTCCCAGAATTCCTCAGCTGCTGGAATAACTTGAGTTATGTGTGTTACACGTGCTGGAATGGGCCTAGCTAGTTCCAGCAATTTGAATCCTACTGGAGCAATGATTTTGGAAAGCGGAGCACAAGATTCTTCTTTTCCAACCTGTTCGATATAAGTTGGCGATTAAAAAAAAACAACCCATGAAATTGTATGAAAGATCACATATATGTAAACTCACCTTTTCGCATATGCACAAATATTGTCAATCAGGGGACAGTTTTTCAAGGCTGCCTCAACTTTGCCAAGAGACACGTATTCTCCAGCTTGCAACTTCACCAAGTCTTTTTTACGGTCTGGGGAAAGAATCACACACAATTTGGGGCTTGAGAGACCACCCTCCTCTGAGTGAACACCCCTTTCCTCAGAAGGAACCCTCAGTGGAGCCAGAGACGGAAGGGTAAAGTCGGCGTTCTCCAGACATTCTATTTTAAACACAACGATGCCAGTTCTCATGCAAAACCAACTGCTGAGATAACATCTTCTACACCTTTGCAACTGCTAGAACCAAATTTTTAAAATGTAGTTAACAAAAAGTGAAGACTGTTATAAAAAAAGGCAACGGTTTTATATGGCTGTTAAGTGTATAACTCATCGTTGTGCTTGGAAGAGCTTACTCATATAAAAACAGGGACAGGTTTGTGAGTAAACCAAAATATTGTGCCTACCTATGATTTGGAGGCACCCGTCAGAATGAAATTCACCAATATCTCCAGTACAGAACCATCGCTGGCCTTTGACATCGACAATGAAATCTTCAGCTGTTTTCTCATCATTTCTGAAGTATCCCATAGAGACATTGGGACCTCCAATTATAATCTCTCCCCTAGGGTGTGGCAAGTCTCTTGTTGTGTAGCCTCCTAAAAAAAAAGCAGAAAGAATAAATTAATTGGTGGCTACAGCAATTCCTTTAAATCAAATCAAAATGATCATCAAGAAAGAATGGCAGGATAGCAAGAGCACTTAGACTTATATACTGTTATATAGTGCTTTACAATCCCTCTCTAAGCGGTTTACAGAGCCAGCCTCCTGCCCCCAACAATCTGGGTCCTCATTTTACCCACCTCAGAAGGATGGAAGGCTGAGTCAACCTTGAGCCTGGTGAGATTCGAACTGCCAAATTGCAGGCAACTGGCAGTCAGCAGAAGTAGCCTGCAGTACTGCACTCTAACTACTGCGTCACAGCGGCTCTTGTTGATTAATTATGTTAAGCCACTAAATTAACATGGGTTGTAAAATGTAATGATCCAACTAGGATCACAAACTCTGGGGACCAAAAAACTTTTGAATCTAACATGGGGGTGTCCAGCCTTGGCAATCTTGAGATTTGTGGACTTCAACTCCCAGAATTCTGTAGCCAGCGTAGGAGTTGAAATCCACAAACCTTAAAATTTCAAAGGTTGGACATCTCTAATCTAGAATATTTATATAGGTACGTATGGGACACAAACGACTTATTCAGAGGTAATCCCACTATATTTAGTGGGTTTTTTCCCAGAGTCAAGGAAATACAGGATCGCTGCTTCCCTCAGCAACTTTATGCAATTTATTAGGAAATGGATTCCCCTAACAGATCAGATTAACAAGCGTTTTTCAACACTGATAACTTTAAGATATGTGAACTTCAACTCCCAGACTTCCCATGCTGGCTGGGGAATTCTGGGAGTTGAAGTCCACACATCTTAAAGTTGCCCATATTGAAATGGACTGGTTTAACCAATACAAGTTAAATGTATCTATAGCCATTAGCCTCTTAAGGCGACAGACTTAAAAAGTTAATGGTTTTCTATGGGATAGGATTCGTCCCACAAGTGCACCACAAGGGGAAAACAGTTTCAGAACTAGGATATCCTGGATAAAAAATAATCAAGTTTCCCAGATGGTGCTGTATTTTCCTGCCCCCAAAAAGAGAAATGGCTTGAGGTGGGATTTAAGTCTTCTTGAGAAGAACTTAAGAGATGGAATAACTTTCCAACAAGCACATATTTGTCTAGTTTGTCGAGGGCATAAGACACACTTCTATTTCAGCATGGAAACAGATTAAAGTATATTAGAATAATGGGATTTTCTCACCTTCTTGCCAGTCTCTGAGCTTAATCTCGCAGCAGATAAGAGGAGCTCCAACTCTTCCAGTACTGTAGTCAGTTACTAGGTAGAAAACATCCGGAAACAAGGAATGAGATACGAATCAAACTAAGAGAAGAGCAGGGAGAGCTGAGGGTGGAATTAAGCATGTCATCAGCTTAGAGTTATTATGTGGCCACAAATGGTCCAATTCCTCTTAAACTCTGCTGACCCTTATTTGGCACCAATTTAGTATTAAAATTTAGATTGTTGTGTATAGGCTTGAGCAATACATCTTGAACTGCAACTTAATGTAGGGTCCTGATCTTTTGCAGCTATATTTATGCCAGGCACAAAAGAACAGGACCATACATTGAGTTGCGGTTCAGAAAATGTATCCCTATACACAGGAATCTAGTCAACTAAAGTTCAAATCTGAATTGGTGCCAGATAAGGGTCAACAGAGCTTGAACTTGGACTGTTTTTGGCAATGTAACTACTTTAAGCTGATGACATGCATAACTCCACCTTCCAGCTTTGCCTACTCTTCTATACAAGTGCTTGAAAGTTCTTTTAATGTAATTGCAGACTAGATTAAAAACAGCCCTGCAGGCTGTTTCTCAAGGGCTCCACACGAAACACCTTTACCATGAAAGAAGCTAACCACAAAATCCTTACCTTCAGTAATGGTGCCTGCTCCACAGGTTTCCGTCAGGCCGTAGCCTTGGCCAACAGGGCAGCAGAAGCAGATGTTCATGAATCTCTGGGTTTGGGGTGAGAGAGGAGCCCCTCCGGAAAGCATCATACGTACATTCCCTCCCAACAGGGCCTTCACCTTTTTAAACAGCAGTCTTAAAGGAAAAGAATCCCACAATGAGATAATGAAAGGGCGCACTAAGAGGATTTATAAACAGCAGGTACATGACTCTCTTTGGCCCCCTCCCAGATACACCCATTAATCCACCTGGTGTGGATTCAGCCCAATGTTATAGATCTGATCGGCTTTCTGCTCTGTTCAGAAGTGAACAAAAACCTGGTTTTCAGTGTGCGGGTTCTAGGTTCAGTTGACGTTGCAACAGACTCACTGAAATCATTGGCCCCCAAAATGATAGATAGGGCTATCTTTCACATCAGAGAAGTCTGGTTCAAATCCAATTATGTTCAAGTCAGGGAGATTTGAACATATTCACCAGAGGTTCCCCGGAAGTTCAGGAAATTTTTATAGGACAAAATATTCTACATGCACCCAAGGATTAGCTGTATGGCAAGACTCAAAGATAAACCCAGGGCCCCTCAAATAATCTGGACTGCAACTTTCAGAATCCCCAGGTGAATGGCCATGAATTCTGGGAATTGGTACTCAATATATTAACATTCTGGCAAAGGTTACCTTAGAAAGCCCCCGAAGATAAATAGTCTCACTGCAGCAATTTAAAAAAGTGCAATAACCTACACTTAAGAACCACTGATTTCCATGATGAATGAATGTACACCTGAAGGGAAGGTTAAGATTTAGACAAAGAGCCTGTCCAATCTGGTTGAACCGGTGGCTTTTTTACTCAAATGTAATCCCCAATTATATCTGCAACAAATATTAAAATACATTAACTCTACTTACAAGTTACAGAGAGGTGCATCATAGCCTCTTTTTATTTGTTCCAATTTATAGTCATATCCTATCTTGAACAAAGTTTTCTGGAAATAGTTCATCTCCTGAACTTTACTCATAACGTTCTTATAAATTCGATCCATGATTTCCTATAAACAATTTAAAGGAAACAGCTAAGAAACATTTTATTCCTGAACTGGTTTATACCAGCCCAAACCTGTGAATAAGGATAACAGGAAGGAGCAATTCATTTATTTTAAACAGCTAACTATTTCCTTAGTTGTATATCCCTTAATATGTAATCAGGCTAATCTATTGGTGGTCAATTTTACCTGGGGGTTATTTGCATAGGCATTCAGCGGAAAGCAATGGAAATATTGAGCATAGATCTCTCTCTCTCTCTCTCTGACACACACACACACAAAATAAATTACAATTTTTGCAGCCAGTTGCATTTTATTTTGGATGTGCTTAACAGGGTTTGACAAGGGAAGGTTGACAGAAAGGAAGACAGATTTCCAAAATGTGTATTATGAAACATGAGCAATGACAGCTGTTTCAAGCAAGCAAAGCTGTAGATATATGTACACCTGCAATTGGTTTTATAAGAGCCCTAATTTCAAAATTTTATTAGTTTCTCAAAATATATAAAATGCAAAAGAAACCAATGGCAAGGGAGGGGAAAAGGGAAGGAAAAAGGGTTGACTTCCGACTCCTTTGGGTACAGTAGAAGAAGGTAGCAGCATAAACACTCTACTTTTTTACTTTTATATAATAATATATGCTATATTATATTTTAAGAAACTAATAAAAATTTGAAATTAGGTATTAAAAGATCCAGGATATAGGGTTTTTTTTTTTACTTGTGGGTCTAAGATGGGTGATCTATATAAACCTATTGGGAAAAATAAGTTACTGTACTTTTTAAAGTTTAAAATTTAACATTTAAGCCATTTCTAATAAAGTTTCAGCATGGAATACACAAAGTTTCACAAGTATCTCATCCTTATTGATACTTACTGGCACGGCTGCCATCAAAGTGGGCTTCAGAACGGTGCAATCTCCTTTGCTTCCCTTTTTAATTTTGCTGGACTGAAAGAACGAAGGGGGGGGGGGAATGAGAGCCCAGTTTTAACTTCAATTACTTTCACAGAAGAATTAAAACTATGGAAAGGTGTTTAGGGCTATTAAATTTTGTGAATTGAAAAAATAAGCCAAAGGAATGAAAGGTAGAACATTCATCGTATTTCACTACTTGAGGATCAAAGAGCTGATCAGATTCTAAAGCTGCTGAGAAAACAGAAAACTTGCAGCCAAGAAAATTAGAAATGTTCCAGGAATACAGTTTTAAGATGCCCTTATCTGTGCACGTCACTTTGGTTCAGATTATTGTAGTGGCAAGCTTAAGACTACTTCTCGCTCTAAAGTTATACAATAATGTATTAATCTGTGCAGTTTAATATTTTAGTAAACTTTTACTTATTTTACAACTTTTAAGCTGCCCAGAGGCATCTTGTAGGGGAGGTGGGTGGCGTAAAAAATTGATCAGTAAATAAACAAATGAATTTCTATCCAATGTTTGACATTAATTGAACACTTTTCCTCCTAAACAATTTACAAAGCAGTTTCCATCCATTGGCTTACCTGGTCTGACAGGGTGAGTGGTGAGGAATATCCAATCCTGCAGCCATAAGTAATACAGGAAATTTCTGCTGTTAGTTCTAATACATGAGCCAAAGGCAAGTAGCCAATATATGTGTCGTTGGGTCTAAGGGAAAAAAATGTACAGTAAATTGTTTCAATATGGCCAAGTTATCTTGGTTTAAATAAACACAGAACATGGTTTGGAGTTTTTGTCAACCAAATCCTTATAATCTAATACAGAGGGTCTCCAATCTTAGCAACTTTATGATTTGTGGACTTCAACTTTCAGAATTCCTCTGAGGTTGAGGAATTTTGGGTGTTGAAGTCCACAAGTCTTAAAATTGCCAAGGTTGGAAACCCTGGTCTAATATATATTCAAGTTGATAAAACATCAACTTGGATTGACCGAGTTAAAATGCAACTTCAGCTAAATTGGTTGGCCTCCAGAGGTAAGGATCTCAACTTGCTCGTGCTGCATAGAGAATTCTGGGAGTTGATGTTCATCTAGCCAGAGAACCCTCAGATCGGAGAAGCCTGCTTTAATAGACCTTATGCCTGTCATTTCTAGTTACTAGGGCAGAAGTCCCCACACTTGGCAACTTGAAGACTTGTATGGACTTCAACTCCCAGAATTCTCTAGCTTTGCTGGCTGGAGAATTCAGGGAGTTGAAGTCCACAAGTCTTAAAGTTGCTAAGTTTGGAGACCTCTGTACTAGGGCAACAGAAATGTTATCTTCTACACACAATTTATGTAATTCAAGCCAAAATAGATCAGACCTGGAGTCATGGCCTCTTGGGAGAAGTATGCTCAATAATTATCCTGCAGTCTTTCTGTCTCCCAGATACTTGAAATCCTTTGATATTATGATATGTTCAAATCCCACACTATTCTACTGCTATACTTTACTATTCAGGAAGTCCTTGTCTTACAACCATTTGTTCAGTGACCATTCAAAGTTACAATGGCACTGAAAAAAGTGACTTAGGACTGACTGTGTTTCACACACCCATTCCACCCTCCCCGTGGTCACATGATCAAAATTCAGATACTTGGCAACTAAGTCACAATTGCAGAGTCCTGGGGTCATGTGATCACCTTTTGTGATCTTCTGATAGAAAGTTTAGGCTCAATCGTGGTCATATATAGGTAGTTGACAACTACCTATATTATGATTGTCATCCCTAATGTTCGTTTTATTTTGTATTGAGCTTTGAAGCTTCTATAGATTATATTTTAAACAACTCTGTACAATGCTCAAAGAGTTGAAGTTACTAGACAGTCCAGAAATAAGTTGTGTACAAAGACAAACGTACTAATTCGCTCCAACCTCCAAGTTCTAGCAGTCAAGAGCATCACTGCTTTCTCTGCTTGACTTTTGGATAGTTAGTGGGCCTCGTAACGCTTGAAAGACCACAGTGGGCTTGCTTGAATCAAACAATAAAAACAGAGTACAGCTTTGAAGAGTTTGTCCCACTCCTTGAGCAGTGTAACTGCGTATTTCTGCTCCACTTGCAGCAGCAAAAACACAGGAAGACTTATCTTTACCCCATATAAAGATTAACCTTATTGCTTTTATTGCTCAAGTAGTGGAAAAAACTCTCCCTGGGAAGCCAATTACTAAGAAGAGAATAAGCTATGTCTCCAAAGCAAGTGAACCACATTATCTCTTTTGAGATAAATGTATGTATTTCTAATCTTGATGACTAATCTGTTTAAGTTTAAAGACCAATGTCTAAGGTACAGGTCATTGATTAGGTTCTGAACATGCTGAGTAGCATTCTTCGCAGCATTGATGAGCACCATCAAGTTTTTGCGTGGGCTGGGCAGAATATAATAGTGGTGTGTATATAGGGAAGGAAGAGCTAGATGGTAACACAGGTCAGCACCAAGGCTCCAATAAAGAAGAAGATTTGTAGCTCAGGGTTGAAATGAGGGCTCCTTGGTGCTCTCTGAGTTCAGTTGTTTCCTTGGAGACATTTCATTACCCAAACTAAGTAGCATCTTCAGCACAGATAATGTTACCTAGTTTGGGTAATGAAACATCTTCAAGAAAACAAGCAAGCTCAAAGAGCCCTCGGTAGCAATAGCACTTAGACTTATACACCGCTTTATAGTGCTTTAGAGCCCCCTTTAAGTGGTTTACAGCCTCTTGCCCCCAGCAATTCTGAGTCCTCATTTTACCCACCTTGGAAAGATGGAAGGCGAAGCCAACCTTGAGCCTGGTGAGATTCGATCGGCCAAATTGCAGGCAGCTGGCTGCAGCAGAAGTAGCTTGCAGTACTGCACTCTAACCATTGCGCCACCGAGGCTAAGGCTATTGCAATTATGATCACAAAACCTTAATCCAGTAATATACAACCCTCCCAGTACCAGCTGTTATTGTGTCCTAACCCCAATCCAACCCCATTTCCCCCAAATTAAAAATAACAGAAGCTTTGACAATTATACTTTAAGATCTTGCATGGGACACCAGTGTTTGTGACATTATCACACCAAACCAATGGGAAGGGAAGGGTTGCTGGCATTATTATGGATCCAACAGGTTCCTGGGAACATGGCAATACCCACCCAATTTAATCTCTTAACATAAATTGCCGTTACTGCCAAGCATCAAGGAAGGATGGTAAAAGTTTGGCCAGTCCAATCTCTGCATCTTTCATTCTGTTTACAGAATACAAACACTCCTAGCTGGAGAAGGCAGCACACATATGGGAAGATCCACCAGGGAATGGAAGGTCCTGGGTTTCTATCTGTTGGACTCTCACCTGCTATCCCCAAAGTGCTTTTTCCAAAAGGCAACCAAAATTCCTTGGGTTTTTTTTTTCTTTGAAAATGTTTTGCTTCTCATCCAGAAGCTTCTTTGGTGTTAGCTTCTAGTTCTAACTTCTAAAAGCTTCTTCGATGAGAAGCAATAAGTTTCCAAAGGGGAAAAAAAACCTATGACTTGGATGATTAGTCATCAAATGACTTGGATGATTGAGAATCTCCATAGACACCTGCTGGCTCCTCTCTATTCTCAGCCCATCTGCCCTGTTTGTGGAAAAAACTGAATTAGAAACAAATGCATATATTTAACTGCTTACCCCAGGCCAGGTATTCGCTCACACTGTCCAGTCATTCCAGCTATCAAGTTTTTATGGACCATCATGACCCCTTTTGGCCTCCCTGTGGAGCCACTGGTGTACATTACAAGGGCCATGTCTGTAGGGACAGGGCGGCAGGGAGGGATGCTTACTGGGCAAAGATAAGAAGGCAAAACAGTTAGATTACACTTTTGAGAAGAAAACAAAACTGAGTCTAAAACTAATACAAGTTTTTATACTGTGAAAAAAACAGCTAAGCATAAGTGCAAACAGACTTGCAAACCAAGCAGGGCTAAGCCTTGTGGCCCACATGACAGTAAAACGTTGAAAAGGGTGGAAAAAATTCTGGTCGCTGTTGAGAAAGGAAGGCGTGGGCTCAGGTCTTCGAGGCACGGAAGAAATGATCGTGTGATCAGGACACGCTTAGGCCAAGTGACATTGTGGCATCACTGTGGCTTGTGTAGGACAGCAACTGTGATGAGAGTTTGGTGGAGAAAAATTCATTCTTCCATTAAGTTTCTCACCTATGAAAAACCTTGAATGGGGAAGGCCAAGGGTTATTTTTTTAAAAAACTGTATTTTTACTTCTAGTGCTGGCAAATGAGAAGCACCAGCTCATGATTGTGGTGGTGATGAAGCACCTTTGTAAGAACCCTTCCATTCCAGAAAGTCTCAAAACACAAATGATTATACGAACCCTCGTGGCACACAGCCTTGTGCACAATTCAGGCTGCTGATAAGATCTCTCTCTTGCTCATCAGCAGCCACGCTAGACTCTGTTTCTCTGCCGAGGTTTGAGGTGGGACTTCAAAAGCCACAGCTACTCATCCTCCCCTTGTCCTTCTAGAGGACCGACCCCTGTGACTGTGTCAGCTCCCTTTCAAATTCGGAACAAATTTCTAGGGAAGCAGACCACAGGTAGTCCTCAACGTACAACAATTCATTTAGTGACCGTTCAAAATTACAACGGCACTGAAAAAAAGCGACATGACCGTTTTTCAGAGTCACAACCTTTGAAGCACCTCCATGGTCATGTGATCAAAATCCAGGCACCTGGTAACTGCTCCATATTTATGACTGTGGTGACATCCCAAGGTCGTGCGATCCCCTTCTGACAAGTAAAGTCAATTGGGAAGCCAGTTTCACTTAACAACCATGTCACTAACTTAACAACTGCAGTGATTCAATTAACAACTTTGGCAAGAAAGATCATAAAAATGGGGCAAAACTCCCTTAACAACTGTCTCACTTAGCTTGTCAGGAATTATGTCAAGGACTCCCTTTCTACCAACAATTTTATAAGATGAACAATGTGAGAAGCACCGGTAGAAGGTACATGAAATACTCAAATTTTTAAGAAGTATATATAAAGTCAATTCACTTAAAGACCAGGTTACTATCTTATCAACTGCAGGGAATTTACTTAAGAACTGTAGCAAAAAAGGTTGTAAAATGGGGGCAGAACTCACTTAACAAATGTCTTACTTAACAACAGAAATTTTAGCCTCAACTGTGGTTGTAAGTCAAGGACTACCTACATTGTTAAGCAAGAACAAACAGGAGGGAAAAGGAGTATAGGTAGTCCTCTACTTACAATAGTTCATTTAATGACTGCTCGAAGTAACAACGGCACTGAAAAAAGTGTCTTATGACTGTTTTTCAAACATATGACCATTGCAGCATCTCCATGGTCATGGGATCAAAATTCAGACACTTGGCAACTGACTCATATTTATGACGGTTGCAGTGTCTTAGGATCCTGTGATCCCTTCTGTGGCCTTCTGACAAGCAAAGACAACAGGGAAACTAGATTCAATTATCAACCATGTTACTAACGTAACTGCAGTGGCAAAAAAAGGTTGTAAAATAGGGCAAAACTCAGTGGGTTTGATTACGGTCATTAAATCGAGGACTACCTGTATATTTCTTATGCAGAGTTAAAAATGAAATTATTGAAATGGTCTAGAATGCTGCTGGTAATATAGAAAAAGAACCACAGAACACGATTGTTGGAAAGGTCTACTACTCAGATGGTCTACTTACAGTTTTCTGGTTTGGCCCCAAGTTCTTCTACGGCTTGCATGTTATGAATCTCCAGCCCTTTGGGATACTCTGATTTATTGATAGTCTTATTGTCCACATAAATGATGTATTTAAGGCAGGGAATTTTTGACAATACATTCTAAGGAACAAACATAGTTGAGAAATGACTGTGGGAAACCAAGCAGAAGTCTGCAATGCACGGCATATGTCTGCATTTGCCTCTCACGATTGTGAAAATTTGTTGTTGTAATAATGTTTTAAGAATATATTCTTCTCGTTTTGACTGTTCATAAACCATCGAAATATGAGGAAATCTTATTTATACAGCTTATGGCATTTCCAAGGCAAAGAAGTTTCATGTAAACTAAAATGGCTGTTTTCAAAGTTTAGTACAGAAATTATAGCTGCTGGGCAAGTTATTTGTCTGCGATGATTAATTTCTGACAACTTTCAAATAATTGTTAAGGTTATGACCACACACATTTTACAGTCTCATTGCAAATTACCACTGACTACAGTTTTATAGTATACTCAGAAATGCAGCCTAATAAACTTTAGAATGTTAATCTTCTTTAGACAACAGAGTACCGCATATACCATTATATCAAAATAATATAATGTATGATGTACTATACATAATACAAATATTATTAAAAATAAAATAAAATGTAGGCTTTCCTTACAGATTAAATTAAGTTAGGCCCCCATTATTCCCAGTATCTTTTAGTAACTCAGCTTTGATCTAATTTTATTTTGATCTAATATTTAATTTTACTATCATGCTTACAGAAAGATTTACCTTCAGTTTGCCTTCCAAAAGATCTAAGCTAGTGATTAGAAAGGATGCTTCACATTCATTTAATCCATAGGTTACCGCCTCTTCTCCAAGGGTTGAATATAGGGTAACAACTATTTAAAAAGCAAGAAGTTAGTAAGTAGATCAATAACTAATTCAGCTGAAGCAATAAATATTCCATGTTAATTTTATGTTTTGTGTACAAGTAGTCCTCAACATACAAACAGTTCGTTTGTGACTGTTTTAAGTTACAACAGCACTGGAAAAAAAGGCTTATGACCGTTTTTCACACTTATGACCGCTGCAGCATCCCCATGGTCATGGGATCAAAATTTGGATGGCTTGGCAGTTGGCATGTATTTATGATGGTTGCTGTGTCCTGGGATCATATGATCCCCTTTTGCGACTTGGGAAGTCAATTTCACTTAACAACCATGTCACTAACTTAACCACTGCAGTGATTCAATTAACAACTTTGGCAAGAAAGATCATAAAAATGGGGAAAAACTCCCTTAACAACTGTCTCACTTAGCAACAGGAATTATGTCAAGGACTCCCTTTCTTACCAACAATTTTATAAGATGAACAATGTGAGAAACACCGGTAGAAGGTACATGAAATACTCAAATTTTTAAGAAGTATATAAATAGTCTGTTGTAGGTGTAAAAGTATGAAGACTTGACCCCCTAATAAATTGTCTGGTCTTAAAACAGATCATTTTGTTATTTCGTGTTGTATGTATTTTAACCATATGTATAAATGTCACCATTAATTCAACGCAGGCACCAGTTTTTTAAGCTATCTTTGTGCTCGGGTGGGATTCAAAAATCCCAGCAACCAGTTTGCTGCCCGGGGGGGTTTGCTGGGTGGGAGTGGCCTACTGGAGCTTCCTGTTTATCGCTTCCGGTGGGCCTCCAGAGCCCAGGGGAGGCTGTTTTTGCCCTCCCAAGGGTCTGGAGGCTTCCCCTGGACCTGTGGGAGGGTGAAAACAGCCTCCCCCGGGCTCTGGAGGTCCACCGGAAGCTGCAAACAGGCCCATTACCAGATTTCTGGAAGGCCCGTTTCCCCCCCTCCCAGAGCCTCCGTGCAGACCCTGCACTTACCTCCATCGAAAATAGGCCGCATGGAGGCTTCTGGGAGGGGAGGGGCTGGGGGGGGGGCAGGGCCAGCCGGTCGGTTGAAATACCAGTTGTAACTTTAACATCCGGCTCACTTGAACCACTCCGAACCGGTAGAATCCCACCCGTTTGTGCTGGTGACGATGTGACACTGAAGGCAAACATCTTTCAGGAGTGGTGACACGCTGAAGAGAATCGTCACTATGGCCCTTATTTATGGAGGTGAAATGGAGCACGGATACTCACGAGGGAAGTTGTACCGGAAGCAAGACTGGGCGGCAATAAACCATTCGGCTCGAGTCTCGCAGAATACGGCCACGGTGCTCTTGGGCTGCAATCCAAGCGCCACTAACCCACTCCCAAAGTGCTTCACCTTCTGGTTGGTCTCTTCATAGTTCAACCACCTATAGTTTCCTAGGATTAACTGGTCAAGATTAAACATTTGATCAGATAGCGTTAAAGCAAGAGGATCAAAACAAGACAGACTTAAAAAAACAACGAAACAGTTCAGCCACTGCTGATATAAATCAATTTATACTGGATCAGCTTTGATTATTATTTTAGAAACGGTCCAAGCCACTCCAAGTTTTCCTCTTCTGTTCCACTCACTTGGTTCAATAAAAGGAACCTCCTCTGAAACACTTCAAACTCTTCTATCACGTAAGGGCCCATTTCCAATCTAGAGGACAACCACTCTAGAACGTGTGATGGCGCCTTTATCAGCACAGCAAAGTAACAATGAAAGGGGCCATCCAAAATCCATACGTTCATGATGGCCACAGGAGAACAAACAGAAAAGAGTTCAAAAGGAAATGGGACAACTAAGAAATAATACTAGTAGTCCTCAACTTATAACTTTTCATTTAGTGACTGTATGAAGTTACAGTGGCACTGAAAAAAGTGACTTGTGACTATTTTTCCTGCTTATGGCTGTTGTAGCATCTCCATGGTCACGTAATCAAAATCCAGACACTTGGCCATGAGTCAATATGAATCAACATTTATGATGGTTGCAGTGTCTCAGGGCAGGGGTCGCCAACTTTTTGACTTTGGGGGCCACCAAACTCATAATTTTAAATCCCGCAGACCACTAATATGAATTTTGACTGGCGGTAGCTTGCTGACATTGATGGGAAAGTCGGTCCCGTATTCCAGAGCTGCAATAGTCACAGGATTGGCCCTTTGGTCATCCTGGAGCAGCTGCTCCTCCACCCAGGTGCACCAGCCTGTCATGGACTGGAGGAGCTGCTCCAGGATGACCAAAGGGCCAGTCCTGTGACGTCTGCAGCTCTGGAATACAGGACCGACTTTCCCACCGACATCAGCAAGCCACCCTGGGGCGGATTTCCCTCCCCCGCCGTCGGTCTTACCTTCCAGTTCCAGCTCGCGTGGCTCTACTCAAGGTAAGGTTTGTGCTTGGCCAAAGGGTGGGAGCCAGCGGGTGGGCGGACCATGTGGGTGGCGCAGCCTTGTGTTCCTGCGCAGCCTGGATTAATTGCTTTGGGGGGGGGGGCTTTTCTCTGTGGACCACCAAAATTTTCTCGCTGACCACCCGTGGTCCCTGGTCCACCGGTTGCTGACCACTGTCCCAGGGTCATGTGATTTCCCCCCTTTTTGCAACAAGCAGATTCAATAGGAGAACCAGATTCACTTAACCACCGTGTTGCTAACTTAAAAACTGCAGTGAATTTTTTTTTAACAACTGTGACAAGAAAGGTCATAAAATGGGGCAAAACGTAGCAACCATCTCACTTAGCAAAGAAATTATGGGCTCAGTTGTGGTCGTACCTCTCTTTCAAAACTAATTCTAGCTTTCCTCTTGTCCGGTTGAAAATCAAGACAATTATATCTTCATGCCTCCTGAACGTCTTTTGGGGAAGATGATGTACACCTGCTTAAAACTCCTTTACCTTTTTTTGTGAACTTGCAACTAAAGTCTAATGATGATGTAATGATAACCTGATATGGAAAGTTGATTAATATAATATGAATATAAATTTAAATTTAAGAGGGAAGACGATATTGTGCACAAGAAATATGTACCAACTGACACACTGTACAACTGAAAGGTTTTATTTGTTGTTTTGTGTTTGTTTGTTTATGTTGTCAAAAATTTAAAAAAACTTTTTACCAAAAAAAAAAAGCCATTTACCTTTTTAAATACTTTTCCATTTGGCTGCATTTCGTTCTCTTCGCTCAGGACCTCTCTTGTTCCAAGACAGTCTTTCTTCCCAAACTTTGTCACAGCAAGGTCAAACAACTTGTCCAGTGTGTCCACTCCAGGAAAGTCTATACTGGCTAATGATTCCATATGCGAAATAGACCGATAGGGACTTCCAGGGCTGTCGGAGATGGGCTTAGCTTTTAAGCGCTTCGCCATAGCTTTTTTCTTCTTAACATTTGTAAGAAAATACCAGGGTATGAATACAAGGGCACTGTACACATTTATCAAAAAATACAAGGGGAACCACACAAAGATCCACAGTCTTTGTTTAAGATTCATAGTGAACAGCTTTCTTTTTCTTTTAGATCTGCCACCTGTCCTTTTGGGGAATCCAAGTTTCTTAAGTTTTTTTTTTCTCTCAAGGAAGAAACAGCAGCAGCAGCAGGCAAAAGCAGAAACGAAGACTTTAGGCAGCTGAAGTTTAGAAGAGTCACTAAAGGGTTAGAAACGATCAGCAACAATCAGCAATAGCAGCAGCAAATTATTTGAAGATCATCAGAGAGCATTAGGAAAGCAGCAATAATTTGTTAGCTTCAGTCTTTGATTGGCTTCATTTCAACACGCAGCTGGGCCCCGAACACTCTGACATTTGTGAACAGCGTCATGGAATTTAAATCACTGCATCGGAAGGAAGCAGATCTGTTCAATGGATCTTTGCCCCACTCTAAATATTTAGGAGAATTAGGTAAACATTTTGCTCTTAAAAGGTTAGGCTTTTAATCCAATTTAGCAATATGACCATTACCTCATTATGGTCAAAAGTCCATGGATTTCTCTCCCCCCCCCCCCCAAAATGTGGAAAGGCTAACAACATTTAACAAATAACGTTTAATAAGGCTGTTTATGATTCTGACAATCATTTCTCTTTGTTGTTTACTGAACTGTTTATTTGTAGGATTTTTGTTATTGTAAGGGAAATGATGTGTTGCAAACTTAAGAAATCTGTTAATTATTACATACATTCTTTAGAAAGTTAACTTCAGCAGCCTTTTTTTAAAAATTGCACCTTCCAAGTAAATGTTCAAGCCAGCTCAAACTAAAAGAATTAAAGTTAATAAAAAGGCCGGAAGAGAAAACTTTCAGCACGAAGACAAGGGTTGGATTAGGAGCACTGAAATAAATTTCAATATTTATAATTTCAATAAGATCTATTTTCAGCCCTCTGCCAATGATCAGCGTATTTCATGTTGCCAATATTCAGAAGAGGAAAGCCTCTGAAAAAAGGACATACTTTCTAGAACTTTTCCCTAAACTGGACAATCAAGTGGACAGTGGGGGACAGAAAGGGAAACAAGCTATTTGTCAACTATTGCTTCAATCTAATGCTCTCCAGAGGTTTTGGGCTGCAATTTTCATAATTCCCAAGGGCAAGGCAAAACATCTGGAGGGCATATATGACAGAAAGTCAGTTCCAGGGGAAAACTGTAATGAAGCTCAAGAAAGATGTTGTAGCCTTCAAGCACTGTCTTAAAGTCTAGGCAACCAATTCCATCTTAAAATACTTACAGGTTGCAGACTGGATTCTCCCCACCCCAATAATGGAATATGGCTCGTTTTAGACTTCTGCTGACTATTGTGGTTGTTTACTTACTCTAACTGGTTATTTTTGGTACAACAGCAGATTTATATATTTACTTACAGTCCCCAAATCATTGCATTTACCATTAACACCTGTAAGCTTCCAAGGGGACTTGAGTGATTGGCCTTCACTGAAAACAAAGGCATGAGATTTAAATCGCGGCTACTGGAATGAAATGTCATGATTCCCCCATTCCACTTAATATACAGTAGTATTTGTCAGATGAGAGATGGACCACATGCTGAGTTCCAGTTATGCTGGTGAGTTATGAGTTCCAGTTATTGGTCATGCCTTTACACGAAGATCTAGTTCAACTAAAGGTCAGCCCTAAATTGGCGCTAGATAAGAGTTAATGGAATCCAAGAGGGTTTAGATTTAGATGTTTGCGGGAACTTAAGGACCCCAGGATGATTCCTCTCTTGACTCTGGCCCCAGAATCTGCCTGCCGTTCTCCTACAGTAGCTCCTTAAATGCTATTTTGATCATTTTTTTCACTTTAACATTCCAGAAGGATTCCACACGAAGAACATACGCAGAAAATGTTAATATTACAATCAAGGCTTGACATAACACATAACATAAAGTATTATCTAAGAGTGAAGTGCTTAAGAGGTTCTGAAAAAGCAAACTATGAAAGAACCCAGTGATTCACAGCATCAGTTCCAAATCAGCTTCCCTTCCCACTAGTTTGGATTGATAAGAAGCAGTTCCCAGACACAGTCTCAAATCCTATTTTAAAACACCCAACTTTCTTCATTATTTCCCCAAATCAGAAAGCACAATATATTACATTTATATATTCTGCAAAAGCAAGACTGCTGAGTTATACAGGTAATTAATAGATGAATAAAGACAGACTTCAATCAGAAAAAAAACCCCACACTCTACTTACATTGCTTCCAAGAGAACTCAGGTCTTCTAGACAAATTCAATCCACAGCAAGGATGGGGAAACGAGCAGTATTTGTATCTAGGCTAAGAAAAAGTTTTATGTAAAAATTAGTAACTTTGTCTGTTAGAAAGCTAGTAACTTTCTTGCTTTCCCATCCTGTTCTGAGCATTCATGTTTATTTGGAAAACGTTGCCTCAAGGCAGTTTCAAAATTCAGAAGTGTTTCCTTCGAGTCGTGGTGGTGATTCATGGACGGGAGTCCTTTTGCAGGAGGTTAGGAGAGGATTTCAACTGTCTTTTTCTGGAATGTTTTTCCACTCCTCCAGGACTAGAAGACCTCCAATGTCCCCTCTAGTCCTGTGATTCTATAATATTCTACCCTAGTAATAACCAAAAGCCAGTAGTTTTGCTGGGTTTCTACCCAAGAGTTCATTTTGAGCCATTTGCCCATGATTTTAGCAGACAGCAGACATGGTTTGTTAGGCTATTTCACACATGTATCAGATCAGCTATATAAATAACTTCGATCAATTATAAGAAAGCAACATACTAGAAACCAGAAGTACACAAAGATATATAAATTATTTCTTACTAAAATCTGAAATAGGACCATATTAAGTGGCAAAACTAAAGATTCTACTTATATCTTTAGCCGAGGTTTATTTGAGCTGAAAACAAACATGCCTTATGCCATCAGACTTGAAACACTAGAAAACCTTGAATTACGCCTTCTTCGGTCTGATCTAAGTATGGTATATAAAATCATACATTGCAATGTCCTACCTGTCAATGACTACTTCAGCTTCAACCATAACAATACAAGAGCACACAATAGATACAAACTCAAGGTTAACTGCACCAAACTTGATTGTAGGAAATACGACTTCAGCAACAGAGTGGTCAATGTCTGTAGGGGGTGTACATAAGCGCACCAACATGGCCTACCGTCCCTGTCCTATTGTTTCTTTTATTTTTCTTCTATGTACCCATTTCATGTATTCATAACTATGTATATACTTATACCTATTATCTTGTAAGTGATTGACAAATCAAATAAATAAATAATGTCGAACTCATGACCCGCAGGCCAGAGTGCCATGTGGTGGCTCCGGCCCCGCCCAGTTTAGTGAAGGGGGAAAAAGTCCCAATAGGTCACGTGACGCTGCTGTGATGCCGCGAGTTTAGCACCCCTGGTCTACGTAGTCTGATTCAATAAAGCAGGCGGAACCATGGATATGAATGCAGCATTACACAAACACAGCCAATATGATGGGAAAGCCAGAAAAAAAATTAAGAGAAAATATACTACCGGTACACATTTGGCAGCTCTCCACTTGTAAATACCGTAATGGAATAGTTACAGTCACTGATTCCTGACAAGTTAAGTTCATTTCGGGATCCTACTGCATTTTTTCCATCTGAGTCAGCACTTTTTACTGCCTTAAGCATGTAATAATCAGAATGTAAGCTGTCTAGACTAGAGTTTATTCACTTTTCAAAAACCCAACAATAATATTTCTGTGTTTTATTTAACTGTGTGGTTACCCAATTAATTCCATTTCTTACCGTGTATTAAAACCGCATGAACATGTTTGATGTAAAAGTGGTATAGGTGGTTCTCGACTTATGAGTAGTTGCTAAGCAACTGTTTGAAGTTCTAATGAGGGGCCCTTGGTGCTCTCTGAGCTTGGTTATTCTCTTGCAGACGTTTCATTACCCAAACTAGGTAACATCATCAGTGTTAGGGTAATGAAACATCTGCAAGAAAACAAGCACGCTCAGAGAGCACCAAGGAGCCCTCATTTCAACCCCGAGCTACAAATATTCTCCTTTATCGGTTCTGATGGATCTCCCTGGAATGACCCAGAATCCGTTTTAATAGCCTCCTCCCCCTACGGTCAATGAATGCACTTTGGACCCTCGACAACCAGACCACATTTGTGGCTGTTTGCAATGTCCTGCGATCGTATAACTGAATTTTTATGATCGCTTTGTTAAAAACTGGCATTTATTTTTGGGGTTTTGGGGGGAAATCGCCCATAACAAACCCCCTGTTCACTTAAGCCGTGAACAACTACAGTAAAAAAAAAAAAGGTGGTAAAATCGAGTCAGTCTTGTGGGTGTCCCGATTTACAACCATCGTGAGTTACAACCATGATGCTCAAGCTCCATGGCAGTCATAAGTTGAAGACTACCTGTAATAACTTGGGGATGATGTTTTATATTTGCAGTAGCTAAATATATTTATAAGAATTGGCTAAAAACGTAATGACCTGGAAGGCATAGCACATATAGCCAAACAGTATTTTAAAAACAATAACTATGGTAAAAGCAGAATATTTTAGTGACCCAGACACATTGCCGCAAAGACATTTGGGCATTCATGCCAAACTGCAAATGGGTATGAAGAAATCAGCTATTCATGCAAAAGGGAATTCTCCAAATGTGGGGTAAGTCCGTGTGTTTCAGAAGCTACGAAAGCAACGAAAGAGACACGCTTCTTTACATAAGAATTTCAGAAAAGTTCTGTGGGGAATTACATATGTTTTGGGGAAAATAATTTAGAGTTGACCTACAAAGCCAAGGTAATTTTTGCACGACTTAAGTATTACTGGAAAACAGGGAGGAAAATGTTTAACTGTCTGCAGAATACATAAATAACATTTTTCTATTATACTATCATTTTCTTGAGTTGTTTTAGAACAAGTTGACATATGTTTTGGAAATAAAACGCCTTAGCCAACTCCTAGCCTGCACCTTTCCTGGCTTCAAAAGTATGAAGAGGAAAAAACCTGAGAAATTTCATAGTGGATTGCTAATAAAGGCCAAATCTGCCTGTTTCTTGGCTGTCTACTGGGTGGAAAGTTGAGACATTTATATATTCAGCCAGTTTCCCTATATGCAGTTTTCCTCATGTCAATTTTGTTTCTACTCTGGCTTTTCCTACTTTCAGGCTGAAATTGCGTTGTTCAAAATACATTTTATGGCCAAAAAGCTAAAAATACTACTATGAACAAAATGAAAACAACCCATCAGATTGCCATTTTTAAAAAAAGATTTTCCCTGTATTACTAAAATTAATCTATCTCCAGTTCTGGTGCTGTCACACCATCTGTGGATCATGTTCTTGGGTTAAAAGGGTACTAAAATAATTCCATTTGTTTGAGGGATTGGGCTTCATTTCTAGATGTGCATGCATGTGTGTATGTACATACATACATACATACATACATACATACATACATACAAGTTGGGAGTCCTCTAAATCTAATGAAATAAATAAATCATCCTCTCCCTTAATAACAGTCTATTGGCTCCCAATGTCCTCCCCCCAAAGATTGGAGATGCTGAGGGTCATATCTGGTGAGTACAGGGGAAAGAGAGAGGAAGGAAGGAAGGAAGGAAGGAAGGAAGGAAGATTGTCATTATATATGTGGAAACTCATTCAGTAGCCATGTACTGTTTCTTATTACAGGACCACAGGCAGAAGAATCGGCCCTGTCCAGGTTGTTTTATGCTCTACCAGCACTCAGACTGTGACAATTTATGAGCTGCAATCAATGCTAACATTTCACTGTCATGGAATCCAATCCTATAATTTGATTAATCCCTAGAGACAGGGGTTTAAAACCAATTCGGATGTCAAAGCCATATTTAAAACTCGGGGCTTTTTAGAAACTCATCAGAGGTCACTTTAAACCAGGAAGGTTGATACCAAATCAGGTTTCTGTGAAACTGCAGGGCAACAAAATATAAGCAACTGGCAGGAGGATAATGCTAAACTGCAATTCCATTTTTATGAACCAGCCAGTCCCAGCCACCGTATGAAAAAATGAAGCTAAGTATCCAGAAGAGGTCATAATGTCTTTGCCAACATCTAGTCATATACTGTATATCATTTTGCAGATAAAGTTTGGCACATCTGCCCCTGGAATGGGACGATTTGCCATGGCCAATTCACTGCAGCCAACTCACCATGGGACAATTCAACAAAAGTCAATCTAGGAATACAAGAGTTACAATAATTTTGACAAAAATGTGTCAACAATAATAAAAGTAATGCTTAATACAATGTTGAATTGTCCCACAGAGAGTTGTCCTGGGCCCCATCTGCACCTCCAAAGAACTGTTCTTAAATGGACTCAAGCTGGAACACAGGGATGTGATGACCATTTTCACATGAACTTGGTATCTTTAAAATGCCTGGAGTCACAGTACCAGAGCATGATCCTTAGTATACCATAAGTAAACCCATCACTTTCAAGAATAGCTGAACTTAAAGTAGCATAATATTATATTTACGCAGGATTCATTATTTTTATAGGCCATTGTAAGATTTGATGTTTTGTTCCAGAGTCTAAAATAACACGTCTTTAAAACCAACTGCACATTAATTGCATCTAAACCTCATCAGGTGTGCATAAACTAATCTGTCATGTTGATTTAATTTAATAATAAACAGAAGAGTATTCAAATTATACTCAATTTTCAGGGTCAAAAACAGAATACGTGTTTAATTGTTACCAAAACAGAGGTGGTATTCAGCAGGTTCTGACCAGTTCTGGAGAACGGGTAGCAGAAATTTTTAGTTCAGAGAACCAGCAAATACCACCTCTGGCTGGAGATTTTACAGTATTCTTCCCCTGCCACTCCCACAGAATCGGTAGTAAAAAAAAAAAATTGAATCCCACCACTGCACCAAAGGATAAAAAAATAGCATCTCTGCCTTTCTGAAGACAATCCAGGATGGTGAACAAGGTGAACTCGCTCAAGGTAGGATCGATTCTAATCACCCCATTCTGACCCAGCAGGCTGACAGAAGAACATCCAAGGAACTTCGCATTATCGAGACATCCTGTCCTAAGGTCCAATTTTTTTTATTGCAAACTTTTGCATTTTTAAACAGTGAACGCAGAGGGAAAAATACATTAAGTTGCGTATTGGAATTCTTTTAAATGATTCGACGGCAATATTATTACCGCTACTTGAAATATACTGTATGTAGATTTCTTTAGAACAGCCCACTGCTGTTCGTAGCAATTAAAGATATATGTTCACTGGCAATGTGCTTATGATATG